ATTGAGATCGGTATGGCCCGCATGGAAAAGAATTTTTGGACCATGTTCTTTGACGGTTCTAGCACCGAGGCCAGGTCAGGAGCCGGAGTTGTGATTGAATCTCCTCAAGGGCAGAAGTGGCAGTTTGCTTTCCAACTCGATTTCAAATGCACTAATAATCAAGCTGAGTACGAAGCGCTCATCATTGGTCTCGAGATTTTAAGAGAAATGAACGGCGACTCTCAGCTGGTGATTAACCAGTTAACTGGGGAATACCAATGTACGAGTGAGAATTTGGCCGTATATTATGTGACGGCCCTCAACACGGCCGATGGATTTTCTAGAATTACTTTTGTTCATATACCGCGCGCCGAAAACGGTGAGGCCAATGAGATGGCCCAGGTAGCGTCTAGCGTAAACATCCCAAGCACTGACCGCGATCGTGTGATAAGAATCGAGAGACGTACCTTGCCAGCCTTGACCGAGCGAGGAATGACAGCGCAAGTGTTTTCGGCCGACATCACCGACGAGATCGATACGGCCGAAGCCGATTGGGGCTACCCCATAGTGAAGTATCTACGCAACCCTTCTGGCAGCCATGAAAGGACTACACGGTTCCAAGCTCGGTGTTATTTGATTTATCAAAATGAGCTGTACCGAAAGGGATCAGACGGTTTGTTGCTCCTATGTCCTAGCGCCGAGGACATCAAGGTCATCATGAATGAGTCTCACGAGGGGATTTGTGGTGCTCACCAGTCTGGGGGGGTCAAGATGAGGTGGTTGGTCCGGAGGCACGGCTATTACTGGCCGACCATTTTGAAAGATTGCATAGAGTATGCAAGGGGATGTATCAAGTGTCAAATCTACGGCCCCATACAAAGGGTACCGGCCGAAGCCTTCCACCCGGTTACCAAACCATGGCCATTCAGAGGGTGGGCCGTGGATATCATCGGAAAAATCCATCCAGCCGCATCCAACCAACACGCTTGGATTTTAGTGGCGACCAACTATTTCACCAAATGGGTCGAGGCCGAGTCCTATCGGTCAATATCCAGCGCACAGGTGGTCAAATTCTTTGACAATCACATCGTTCATCGGTTCGGTATTCTAGAGACTATCACGGCCGACAACGGCCCGGTATTCGCATCGGCCGAGACGCGGGAATACACTGAAAAGATGGGGATCAAATTGATCCACTCAACACCTTACTACCCTCAATCCAACGGACAGGCCGAAGCAAGTAACAAAGTAATCAAGGGCATCCTAGAGAAGATGATCGAGGAAAAGCCTAGGGCGTGGCACGACCTACGGTCACGACGCCATTGTCCCGATGGAGTTAAAGGTTCGGTCTCTCCGTGTGGCCGAGCAGCCTGGGCATGAGAAGGAGCGTTATGCGCAAGCCATGGCTCAGGAGTTGGAAGATTTGGAGCAATCTAGACTCGATGCCTATAACTTGATGCAGGCCCAAAAGCAAATCGCGGCGAGGGCTTACAAAAAAAGGGTTAAGCAAAAGGCTTTCGCCGAAGGCGACCTAGTTTGGCGAGCCGTACTTCCTATTGGGACAAAGGACCCTCGGTTCGGCAAATTCTCGCCCAACTGGGAAGGACCGTTCATCATCGAGCGAATTCTTGGCC